TCTGGTGACAGTGATCTTGAAAGTGAGGATCCTGCTGCTTCTTTCCCCAGACCAGGCAGCTCAACATTTTAATTTTTTGCAAATCTGCTATTTCATTTAAGCTACCAAGTTCCTGCAACAAAAGTGGGAAAATATTTTTATTTTAACCTATTCTAGTGTGGCCTCATCCATCAGAAGGAGGAGGAGAAGCAACAGGGAGCTCCCCACAACCCCCCACATATACACAACCCCCCAACATACCCTATGCCCCAACACACAGCCACACACCCTCACACACCCCCCACACCCGCCCACACCCCACCATACACACACACCCAACCATACCCCCACACAATATACAAAACTAAGAAGTTATTTTTGAGTTATTATTCAATCACTTCTATATACATACAGGATGCAAATACAAATCATGACAAAAATATTTTTGTAGTAAAATTAAAATATGTTAGAGTAGATGTTTGACTTTTAGTGTATGATTTATTTTGTTTCTGGTTCTAAGATGGCAACCCCACCCTCCCAAAAGGCGTATTTCTGGGGGGCAAGGAGAGGGACTTCTGGTGGCAATGATCAGGGGCTAGGGATGGGACTTCCTGTTCTAAGATGGTGACCAGGGGGTGGGGCAACTGTCAAGAGGTGGGGCTACCCACCAAAAATTGCCAAACCTCGTTAAGAGGCCCTCCACCTAAAATAATAAAGGCTACATCTAAATCACGTCCAAATTATCACTTGCACGATAAAGATATAATAATGCAACCTGCACTATTCCAAACTTGCAGCCTGTATATGAAGTATTCCCAATCCTGAAATCTGTATTCTGTGTTTACCTAGGTCTTCCTTGAGCAAAACGCACATAGACCTTCATGTCCAGCATTAGAGATATACCGAAGTGTTCCAACTAAAGGAAAGAGATTTTGCACCAGGGGTAAGATTTAGGGCAGGTAGATGCATTGATATCAGTCATTTATCTGCTTTCTAGATCCTACCTGAGTGACGATCATGGGATAGGGACCAGTATAGTTCTCTCTGATGTGTACTGGAGGAGGTGCCTTCCAAAGGTTCTCCTTCACAGTGATTTCCACATCAGCATTATTGGTGAAAGCATTCCCTGTCATTCCTGCCAAATCCTTCACTGTGACAACAAGGGTGAAATGATCCTGCTTCTGGGGATCTAAAAGACGAGCTCCTAGAAACCAAAACAAAGTGATATGAATGAAACAATACCAAGGCTCTGATGTTACACATACATTGCTTAGCAACAGAGGGATCCTAAACACTGTTTTGTGTATCTGTGCCAGCACATGCTTTTCTATAACTGTTATTCCAAGGTATTTTTCAGTGGATTGCTTTATCCTGCTTCCCAAGGGAGAGAATAAGGACTGGAAAGCATAGGTAGTATTTCAAGGTCTGATCAATTCTAATTGATTTCATGAAGACTTGAATAAGGCCCTTCATTTGTTTCTCTGTCATAATTACCTAAAAACCTGAGAACTGCTCTTCTGCTGAGTGCAATACTATACTGAAATTTTAATATTTAAATAAATAAATAAACACACGAAGATTTTTGACAGACAATTCTGATTTGGTGCTTATCTGAATTAGCATAAGGTAATGCCATTGTAAAGATGCATTGTCCAAGAAACACCTGTTCATGAGAAATATATAATCTACTGGCACTATCATAATTAACTCATAATTATCCATTTTTGTTCTCTCTTTTTTTGGTGCTTAGTCCAACAGGATCCTGTACTGTGACTGAGGCTTCTAGGCACTACAAAAATAGACAATACTCGGTTATACTGTATGAGATGATAGTTCCATAAGTGGTTAAGAATAACAACTAATTTCACAGAATAACAGAAGACATATTCTAGTCATCTCTTCCTTAATATTTTCTATATCAACTATCACTACTGCTACCATATCTAAGCAGTTCACAAATACAAGTTTCAACAATGACAATAATTTTCCATACCTTGAGGACTAGTAGCGATTCCTCCAGTTTTATTATTGATCTCAAAAAGCATCTCATGATAGGGGTTAGGAAAATGCTGAAAAATGCTGTAACTCAGCTGTGCATTGGGAGTTGTAGGATCGTCAAGGTCAGTAGCATGCACATACATGAAAGGTTTGCCTGTTTGGATTATAGAAGAAAAGTCAGTAAGAGAATGGAGAGAGGGGTCATGATTCTCCAGTTCATATAACAATCAGTCACAAGCGGCAGAGAAGGGAAGATCCACAAGAATAGAATCATAGAAAAGTGGAGGGAAGGACCCAAGTAGGTCATCTAATCCAACTCCCTGCTCCAGTCAGGCTCATCTCTGATCC